TTGCCCATGTAAAGCAGTCAATGTTGGGAATGAACTAATTGTGCTATAGAATATTGAGGAAGATAGAGAAATGGAAATCCCGGCCTTCAACATTAGGAGTTTATAGTTATTGTTTAGGGCGTATTGATGTCAAAAGTAATGTATCGATATCGTTTATATAATGTACTATCAAATGCTTGGAATGCCCGAGGACATGAAAAGTTCGCGGAAAGAAAGTATATGTTAAAATGAGATTTTGTGCATAAAGAGCAATCCAATCATTCAGAGTTTGCTCATTTATTTGTGGGGTGGCGCGCCAGTACACTGTACTCCGGATCGAGCATACTGGGTTCCAGCCCTAGTAAGGATTATTGCATTGTGTTCTTGGGCAAGACACTAGTTTCACAGTGCCCTTCTCCACTCAGGTGTATAAATGGATAGCAACGAGTTGTAGGGGCAACCTCACAGAACGGTAGGAAGTAACTGATCTGCGATGGACTAGCATCCCACCCAGGGGGAGTAGCAATTCTCCTAAATTTCAAGTTGGGCTTATTGCTGGGATATTGGTATTGTTGGGCTTAATGTTTGGGTATTTGTTAGTTAACTGATTAACTCCATGTCTTTGAGAACACGCCAAAAATGCTATTGTAACTGAAGATGTTATTGTTTTTTCCGGCTATAGCTCAAAGCTGCGGAACATATTAGGAGAAATTTGGCGGAAGGTAACAGGTTTATTGTGTTCCTTTATTTAGTTATTTCTAGCAGTAGAAACAGAAGTAACCGTTTGTAATTAACATATTCTTGTATATATATATTTTTTTATTTTTTATCCTTGTAATTTTAAATTTTAAGCTTCAGTTTTTTTATTCCGCATAGCACATTTCAGTAATGTAGATAGGGGACCACCCTAATTAACTTAGTGTTAGCTTGGTGATATCCTCTGTAAATATTGTTATTATCATTATCATTATCATTATTATTATTATTATTATTATTAGTAGTAGTAGTAGTAGTAGTAGTAACGTAAAAAAATTACCTGTTTACCTAGGATAACCGGACTGGGTTCAAATGAACCGCGTTTTGTCGTTCGTTGCAACACTTAGCGACTAGTGACTGGTTGGTAAACATTGGCAATTTTTTGTTTGAAAGCATTTTTAAATGGTCTTAATTAACTAGTTCTTGAAAGGAAGTGTTAAAAAGTAGAGCATTATCGTTGTATTCATTTTAAGGAACACAGCAGTTAGGGGAAGTTTAAGTTATCACCTGCAAAAAACAGACAAATCGGACGGTCGCGAAAAAAAAAGAAACCGATTCTTTTGGTATGGATAAACTGTGGGAGCATAGAAATAGTTCAAATAAATGGCAGGCCCGTGGGAAACTACCGACTGTACCTGACATTTCTTTTATTTTTACCAGCTAAAGAAATCGCTCTTCCTGATGAGGTTAAAAAATCCCTTCTGTCACAATCATGTGACGCCAAAGAGGTTATACTTCAACTACAGCTGAAGCAAGCTTCTCTGGAACAACCAGATTGTGAGACCAAGGCATTGATCCGTTGCTTGGCAAGGAAATCTAAAGATTCAGACAGGCATGACGTGTTCCAACATTTGAGAAAGATTACACCAGCTGGAACTACTGGTGAGTTACTGGTTTTATGTTGTCAATTTCCCTTCCATATTTATTAGTTATTGAAGGACATTTACACTAATAGCCCACGGTCGATATACGCTAAGTGGTAAAGGGCTGCTACCGGTTAAATTGACCTCACCATCAGCTTACTCTTGAATATCTTTCATTTTACTGTTTCTCTCCATTAACCAAAACTCTGAGCGTCAGGAGTTTTAATTACTCCGCTTTTTCTTCACTCGTGCGTCTGAATTGTTTTACCAATAAGCGTGTGCATGACTTACAAGTATTCTACTGTAGGGCTAACCACTTGCTAGTACTATTAAATCTTTGACCAAGTTGTTTGTTTCATGAAAATCGCGCCTAAAGAAAACAAAGAAAAGAATCCACTGTAAAAAAAGATAGAACATGAACTGACAAAAAGAGTTCAATTTATATGAAAGTTTTTAATAGCCAATCGTAACGAGTGGCATTGTTATTTGCCAAGGTGCTGATGGGTTTCCGGGCCTGTCTTGTTATCAGCCGTACCGCCTTCAACAATTCCCGCGTCACTCAGATGCTGACGGTGTTTTAGTGTCGATCACGTGTTCTTGTTTACAGTCTAGGGTTTTACATCCGCACCTGCACGAAATATCCTCCGTTATCTGTTTGCTCTACGGCCTCACCCTTTGATTTTTTTTAGGCCCTCTTTTGTCTGAGCAACTTGATGTTCGAAATATCCCTGTTTCCAAGGGAAGAAAGGTTACAATTAACTTGTGCGGTAAGTGTTACTTTTTTGTGTAGAACAAATAGTACCATATCCTAAACTTAAAGCCAATCATGTTCAAACAAAATTATTCAAAGTTAGTTTAGAGTAATCGACTGGGTGAAGGTACTTCTGAAAATTAAAAAAAGACTCTTGTTGCCTATGAGCTAGAAACCACAGAATTGAGTGGGACTTTGGTAGACCAACTTTGAACAAACGCCTCTCAAATTTCAACAGTCACGGCTGACTTGCATCTTACAAACGACTTATTCACGACCTGAACAAAACCAACGTAGGGATATAAAAAAGAACGACTTAATTTGACTGTCAATAGGCAGCCAACGACATCACGGAGAACTTACCAACATTTGCCGGTCAATGACAATGATATCCAGGGGTAGGGAAGGGATTGTGTTCTGTCAT